ATATATATATTTATATAATGATTATTTTTTCTCTTCAAAAACATAAATATAATGAATTTTTATTTAAAATCTTTTACTGCTATTTATTAATCAATTATAATACATTTATTAATTTATTGCGTTTAAATAAATAAGAAATATTTAAATCAATGCAACGTGTGACTAATTGATGGCATAATATTTGAGAGTGTTAGTGGATAAACAATGCAACGTGTGACTAATTTCAATAATAAATATTTATTTCACATCAAAGGATTATCCTGAAATGTTCTTTTGAAAAATAATTAAGATAGGTAACAATTAAAAAAAATGCACTCTGAATTTGAATTGATGAAGGGATTAATGAATTTTAGAAAATATAATAATACATAATTATGACATATTTATAATTAGGAGTGTTCACTGTTCGATTTGATTTTTAACTAGATAGTTACCTGAATCTAATGAAAAAAAATACATGGAATTTGGTTTGGTTTTTATTTTTTATAATATCCGAATCGAACCAATAGTTTGTAATTCGATTCGATTTTTGCAATTTTTTTTTTACCTTTTTGTTTGTATACAATTATAATTACCTCTATAGCGATGTTAATGTTGTGAACCTGTGATTATCTTTAATGCCCACACAGTGGAATCGACTATTATCAGTTATATGTTATTCTCCAATATCCACATAGTAGAAAGAAAGAGATTTTAACAAAAGAAAAAAAAAAGACTCAGAAGATGGAGACTCTCACTATCGAAGGAGAATGTCAGAGGAAACGAACAGAGAGGCGACAACGTGATACAATCATGCGAAGGTGTAAAGATAGAGAGCGACATAGTCATAGAGGAAGACACTTAGGTGATCGAGAAGCGACTAGAGAGATAACGATGGGCAAAGTGTTGGGCCCGATTGTCCACCTTTTCCACCACCATAGTATGATATTGTCCGCTTTGGGCCCAAGCCCGCACGGTTTTGTTTTTGGGCTCCTTCCCAAAAGGCCTCATACGATAATCCGTCACCATCTTGTACCGTCGTTAACTCTACGGGACACGCCGCCTGAACACCACAATATCAGGAAGACTTTCGACACAAGGCACCAAGTTCGAATCTCCATCGCGAGGCACAACACTGAGGGTCTTCCCGCATCAACCCCAGACGAACCGTTGGCTCTGATACCACTTGTAGGGCCCGATAGTCCACCTGTTCCACCACCATAGTATGATATTGTCCGCTTTGGGCCCAAGCCCGCACGGTTTTGTTTTTGGGCTCCTTCCCAAAAGGCCTCATACTATGTGGAATGGTGGACACTTATAAACTAGCCAATGTTCCTTCATTTTACCGATGTGGGACTTGGGATGAATCCCAACAAACCTCCCCTCAGACCAAGGACCACATGTCTCGTGATCTCCTCCCCTCAAGCGATAATCCGTCACCATCTTGTACCGCCGTTAACTCTACGGGACACGCCGCCTGAACACCACAATATCAGGAAGACTTTCGACACAAGGCACCAAGTTCGAATCTCCATCGCGAGGCACAACACTGAGGGTCTTCCCGCATCAAACCCAGACGAACCGTTGGCTCTGATACCACTTGTAGGGCCCGCTAGTCCACCCGTTCCTCCACCATAGTATGATATTGTCCGCTTTGGGCCCAAGCCCGCACGGTTTTGTTTTTGGGCTCCTTCCCAAAAGGCCTCATACTATGTGGAATGGTGGACACTTATAAACTAGCCAATGTTCCTTCATTTTACCGATGTGGGACTTGGGATGAATCCCAACACAAAGGTGCAGAGGCCATAGGGAGAGAACGATAGAGGAGGACACTTAGATGAGAGAGAGAACGACAGACAGACGAAGGAGGCACTTAGATTAGAGGGAGAGAGGCGACACTAGTAGAGAAAACTTTTAATTAGGGAGTGAGAGACCTGGAGTTTAACCTACACTCACGCAGGCAGACGCAGTCATAAGCAGCACTGTGGTTCAGTCGATTTCGATTTGGTTCAACTGACTAAACCAAAAATCAAACCAAATTAGTCGGTTCTCTGAAAAACACATCCAAAAAATCCAAACTTTATTTTTATTTTTTTTGGTTTTTCTGGATCGCTTCTTGGTTTTCTTTTTGGTTTGGTTCGATTTTGAATACCCCTATTTGTAACAGAGTATAAAAAGTGTATACTTATAACAAGGAACCTAAATACCCAATTGATATTGTAAATAAATTAATATATGATTGTTTTAGCATAATTTTGGTTTAGAGTTTAATCTTAAGTGTGTATTTCCATTAAATATTTAAATAAAAAAATTGTTAATTAATTCTATTATACTCAAATAAGATTGTCTCACACGAATTCATAAAATGAGAAAGAAATCCTTTTTGTTAAGATTTCTCACAATCGTATAATACCAAACTACCTATTGGGGCAATAATTTTATAGTCTTTAGATGAATGTAAGAAACTCTCTCCTTTAAACACTAAAAGTGAGAGCATAACTCATCAAGAAAGGTGTTAATAATACATTTTTCTTAATAGTAAAGTTGTACATGAAAAATAAAATACATAATTGAGTTCCTCAACGTGACTATTACTTGAAGTTTTAAAACTCGAGTATAACATTGTTAAATGTTGATGAACTGTTTATTTAATTAGTAAGGGTACGTGCATGTTGATTATCATGTACGCATATTCATGTCAAGTGATTTTATTTAAAAAAAACAAAAAAGAACATTTTTGATTAAAAAACATGTGAGCATTGGTTAAAAATAGAGACATTGCATGAATGTTAAATGATATAGGATGTACATTATTAGAGGAGCCCTTTTTTTTTTTTTTTTGTTAAAAACGTTTTTATTGAGGAAAAATAGCTAAGAGTATTATTAATGGTCCTTAAATGTTTTTCGACATAATTATTTAAATTTTTAGATATAGAAGATTTATTATTCTACACAAAATTTTCCCTTTGAAAAAGTGAGTTTCTACTAGGTAATAGCATTTTTGTAAAGTTAAATAAAATATAAAAATAACAAATGCTTTAATTTATATATATATAAAAAAACGCGTGATTAACACAAGCAAAATATAGAATCTACGAACTATAAATTAAAATACATATATATACTTTTTTATTTTAAAGAATTCTCATTTTTAATTTAAAAAATATAAATTCTCATTTAATTTTTAATTTGTGGTTGGATGAGAAGTTGCAGAGTCAAAATTCTGATAAAAATTAATTTTTTAATAAAATTAGTAAATGTTTCATACTTATAATATATTTACAAATTAAAAAATACTAAAATGTATAACACTGCGATGGGAGCAAATATAATTATAAACAAACAATTAAAAAACAACATTATCATAATATTGTAAATTATAAATTATTTTGGTTGTCATAAACATGAGTTAGTTTACAATCTCATCTTCACCTTAATCATTTTTTTTAATGAAATTAAGTTTAATTGATTTTTAAAAAGAAATTAAGTTTAGTCAATATGTTTTATTAAAACTAAATTTAAGATATGTCTCTTTCTTATTCATAGATAGTCATGCTTTTAAAAAAATATTGTTATCTCAAACTGAGGAGCTGTCTCTTTTCATTTATAGTATTCATGGATTTAACTTAATAACAATATAGAGAACTAAAATTTATTTCATATTTTTTTTTATCTACAATCAAAATAAAATTCAAAGAAATCTTCCAATTATATTAAGAGAAAGTATTTAAATATGTATTTTGACAAGGTGATACCATATTTATTTATTTATTATTATAGAAATTTATTATCATTACTTTTTTGATGACATTATTTATACTTTTTAGGAGGGTGACTTTGAAAAGTTATAGAATATCTCGAAGGATGAGTATTCAGTCACAACAATTTTCTCAATTAACAATAATGTAAATTCAATTTTAATGTGACATCTTCATATTGTGTTATTGTCTATTTAATTAACTTTTAAATTTTTTTGTTGCATGTTCATCGTTTAAAAATATATTATGTTGAATGAAGTTCTATAATAATAATAGATAAAACACAACTTTGAAAAATAATAAAAAAAATTGATGTTTAAAATATTAGAAAGGTAATATAATAATATGGTTATGTGAAAATATTTTATATGTGCGAATTTAATAGATATAAAGATATAGTTGTAACATTTATTTATTAGGAATCAATTCCAATTCATATTTTTTCCTTAATAGTAAGATACTTGAAAATGTAATATCGAGTAATATTTGTCATATTAACAACTTCTATACAAAACAAAATATCTCAATTATTGAGGTTGTAATTACTTATTTCATAAATCACATAAACTACAATAAATCACATGAAATATTAAATATCTCTTATTTATACGTTAATTATATGACTTATTTTATAATTTTTTTAAGTTAAAGAAATTATGGACGATATATTCTATAAGAAATTGAAAATTATTATGAAAAGGTGTAGAACTATTCAATTTAACTATTTATTATTTATTTATATATTTTTTATTTTAACTAAAAATAACAATAGAATGACATTATTTTGTTCCATAAATTACAAGAAAGTTAGAAAACTGCAATCATTATTTGATTTTACTCTTTTGAAAATTTTATGATTAAAAAATTTATGTTGTAAATATTATATATATATATATATACTTTTAAACATATTTATAATTATAATTATGAAAAGCATAATATCTTTAATATATTTTAAGCATTAGTATAAGCATAAAGAAAAATTAGAGTATAGTATTATAAAAAAGAATATAGACATAAGTAAAAAATAATAATAAATATTTATAGTTTTATAATATTACATTATAATTTCTATGTGTTATATCAATGAATAATGAGAAAATTAATTATATAAACAAGATAAAATTATTTATATCGATAAACAAATTAATTTAATACACGAGTTATTTTCTATTTTAAAATAAAATATATTTATATTATCATCTAATTATAAATAATCATATCTATTGACTTTTATAATATATTTTGTTATGATATTTTGTTGAAAAGAATATTTGTATAATAAATTACATAACATATTATATTTAATTAAAAAAATATGTGATAAATATATATAATAATTTATAAAATCAAGAGATAAAAAGAGAAAGAGAGAAATTATAAAAATATAATAAATAATATGAAAAAAAAAATAACATTAAATAAATTGTTACATATTTACTAATTACTGTATCTCTTTATGTTTAAAGTTATATTTAACACAATTTCTAATCGATTAAAAGTTTCAAATTTTTTACATTGATCATGGACAAAACAAAACTCTCTTACCAAAATGTTAGAAACTAAAATACGTATTTTTGAAAGATAAAAAAATGAAGTTTCAGACGATTTAAAATTTGAAATGCTAATGTATTTTTGTGAAGAATAATTTTAGATAGTTAAATTGCAATAATTTAACCTTTTCAATTATTTTAAGAGTATAATTTTTTTGGAAACTCATTTTTGGACAACACCCGTAGGAACAAAAAAAAAATAAAATAAAAAAAACGTATCAGCAATTTTAATTAATTAAAAATAAAAATAAAATTGAAGAGATAGATGTTTTTGTCTTTACGTGGGACGTGGGTTGGTTATTTGAATTTGATTAGGCAATGTATTATATTTATATTTATACCCATTCCATTCAATTGCAGATTGATTTGGCAACAATGGGCGGCGACGGTGGTGGTTTTTGACTTCGATCGAACCCTAATCGACGACGACAGCGACAGATGGATCGTGACCGAAATGGGTCTGACCCATCTCTTCAACCAACTTGGGCACACCATGCCTTGGACCTCTCTCATGGTACCACCACTACCCTTTGCCCTTTTCCCACATTCTTTCTAATTCAACGTTTCATTTGTGTTTCAGGACAGGATCATGCAGGAGCTCCACTCTCACGGTCACGGCATCACCACCCAACACCGCTTCAGCCATCAAATCTCATTTGCAGCTGCGATTTGAGGATAATCAGTGACGCCAATTTGTTTTTCATTCGGACCATTCTCGAACACAATGGCTTATTGGGTTGCTTTTCGCATATCAATACAAACCCAGCTTTTGTAGATAATGAAGGACGCCTTCGCATCACTCCACCTTGTCGCCTCACGCTTGCCCCCTCTGCCCTCCCAATATGTGCAAGGTTACTTACCATTAACTCATTGCTTCATTACAACCAAGCATTCTCTATACTATTCAACTAAATTTAATTTATATGTAATAATACTATTTAAAACATTATCATAACAAAAATTTCATCTAACTTCCGACTCATCATAAGTTAACTCGTGATGGAGTGTCTCATCTAGTAATAGTATATATACATGGTTTCCAACGTTAATTTATGTAATTATACATTATATTATTGATTAAATATTATATATATATATTAATCATGAATTACGATAATTAAAGTTAATTTATATTCTTTATTAATATTTTATACAATTATTTTGATATTATTTAATATTATAAATTAATTAAGTTGGTTGTGGTTGATACATATTTTTTAAACATTTGTTTTTGTCCTATTATTAACATAGTTATAATTGTGATATAAGACTATAATAGTTTTTTTATAAAGTACAATAATTTATTTTTATTTTTTTTAATTTAAGTAAGTCAGCCTATTTAACTTTCTAACTTTTAATGGGCCAGGTCGAGTTATTATTATTTTTTACTCATTAAAAGGTGAGTTAAGTTGGATTTGTTGACTTATTTTTCAACTTGTGATGAGTTGAGTTGAATGATCCACTTTAATAGCTCTAATTTTATAAATAGTAAATTATACTTCTTCCAATGATGTGTTAGCAATTCTTGTCTTTTTAATTTGATTTGTGTTTTACAATATTAATGTAACAGTAGTTTTTTTTTTTCGCTATACCCTTAACTATCATTAATTCATTTCTTAATTATAGTTGGAAATTCAAAAAATTTAAAGGTATATTGAAAAATTACATTATTTATTTTATGAAACCAGACATATTAATTGCATATGCGTGAATCAACTTACATAATTTGGATTTCTCTTGCATCAGATCATCTATTATAAAAGATACAAAAGAAAAAGGTCAATAGTTATACCCTACCAATTAAAAATTATCTTGTTATGTTTTTAATTATTTATTATAAAAGTCAATAAATTTATTATTTATTTTAGTTTGTGATAAGATAATGATATAAAATCATTTGATATTATAGATATATAATTTCTCTATATTAATGGGGGGCACTTCTTAGTGTGTGGTTTGGTTTTGCAAAATCATTATTCTTTCGACCTTCTCTTTGATTTTTTTTGTCTAGCAGTAATTTGTTACTCATAGCTTTGGTGGTGTTTTTTTTTCCCATCTTACAGGGTTTAGTGATGGACCAAATTCGAGGTTCTTTACCTGGAAATGAAAGAAGATTCATCTACCTTGGAGATGGAATGGGTGATTATTGCCCGACTTTGAAGCTGAAGGGAGATGATTTTGTGATGCCAAGGAAGAATTATCCTCTCTGGAACCGGATTCACAGTGACCCAAAACTAGTTGCTGCAGAAGTTCATGATTGGAGCAATGGGGAGGAGTTGGAGAGCATTCTACTAAATCTTATCAACAAATTAACCCCCACTAATGGTGAAGGACACCC